GCGGAGCAATCTGTAGAGCTGGAAGCTGAGAACTGGCGACTTTGTAGTACAACTTTAGTACGCGGAGCAATCTGTGCAGCTAGAAGCTGAGAACTGGCGACTGTGTAGTACAACTGCAGTACGCGGAGCATCTGGGGAGCTGGAAGATGAGAACTGACTGGCGACTTTCTAGTACAACTTTAGCGCGCCGAACAACCTGTGGAGCTGGAAGCTGAGAACTGGCCACTTTGTAGTACAAGTGTAGTACGCGGAGGAGTCATCTCTCGCAGCTGAGTCAGCTCTCGCTGCTGTGAGTCATCTCTCGCTGCTCATTCATCTCTCGCTGCTGAGTCCGCTCTCGCTATAGCCATCTCTCGCGGCTGAGTCATCTCTCGCGACTCAGTTATCTCTCGCTGCTGAGTCATCTCTCGCGGCGTGCAGGTTTGGCACAGTTCATACTGATAGTATTTGGTTGCATTTATGCAGGACAGGACATTCAACTGCTGGTCAATACACCACTCATCATACACCATACACCACTCGTCATACACCACTCATCATACACCACTCAACATACACCACTCGTCATACACCCCTCTTGTCGTGGCAAAGATACAACCCAGTACGCTGTTGTGAGCTGCTGATCCTGCAGGGGGCACACACCTTACACACGTGGAATCCCGTGGGCACGCGTCTACCTTTAGTTTTGTTTATATATACCCCAACCCGCCCGCCCAGTCCCAGGCATTCCGCGGACATGGTCGCTGTCGCGGATCTGCTCTAGCCAAAAACTACAATTATCCAAACTATATGTTAGATAGAAACTATACTAAAACGACTTTACTAACTAGTTGTAACTTCAATATAAGTAGTTGTAACTAGTTCTAACTAAGATATATCTTGTATATAACTAATTTTGGTGAAATTATATGTTACGTATATCTAACTTCTTCAAGAGTAAGTACTTATAACTAACTCAAAAAACCATAGTATAGTTGCACGTACTTATTCTCACTTATTGAACTACAAATTAAGTTATGGAACTACAAGTTAACTTGTAGTTCATTAACTAAAGTTATAAGTCGTCTAACTAAAACAACCCACACAGTAGGGCCTCCACGCCATAGCAAGCGGCCCGAGCGGGCCAAAGTCTACGCGCCTGCGTCTGCCAGCACTGTTGTCCAGCCCAAGGTCTTTCGGCAGATCGCGTACCTGAGGCTGCGTATCCTTGTGGAAAATCTCAGGGCATTCTTGGCAGTCGTAGAGGAAGCAAGGAAACCTGTCTTTGCCACTGACAACTGGAGCCCATTTATTCCAACTGACCCTTCAGGAGTTCATAGCCCTCTAGGGCACAGTGGACCGGCTTGGATCTTGGAGGAGTTGTGGATGAAATTCATGAAGGCAGGAACTCCATGGGCTCCCACAGATCCAGCAAACTCTCCAGCCCAACACTATCATAGAAGCGCTGCAGATCGACCAAAAGGGAAACCACATGCAAAGTCAAAACTATGCAGCTGGTAGGCCGACTGACCTTCTCTGGCGCAGAAGAGGTGCCCACCGAATATATTTCCTCGGGAGGCCAGCATGCTCGTTCAAGTTCACACAGGACGGAGTCCAACTTGTTGCCACGCGGATGAGACTCCACATCATGAGAATGAGATCATCCTGAGCCATCACCCACTGCTTAGCATCCTGAGTCCACTGGTGATGTTGGCATACCCTCTGACGCCATCGCCGTTGTACTTCAAGCGCTTTGCAGGTGGAAGCATAGTACCAATAGGTTGGGCTGTGCCCAGTGAACTGGTAAATGCCCTTGTCCTCCAAGGAGAGACCTCCTGTGCGAAGTCCCTCACGATAACGGGCGAAGCACCAGTGCCGTGGACGAATGGAGGCCACCGTCCTATGTGGTGGAGGGTTCCGCACGAGCGGGGCTTCACGGGCTGCCAGCTTGAGCCGCTCACAGCCTCTCTCTCTCTCTCTCTCGAGTCTTACGCCTTGCTCTCTTTAGACCTTACCGACTTTAGACCTCTTTGTTTTTCCCCACCTGTCAGGCGAGGGTTGTCACTCCGCCTCCGACTCCACCTCGTCCGCCTCCTCCTCACCTCAGCCGCAAGTGCAGGATGGCAGCCTTCCCCGCCGGACCTCAACCACGAGTTCCACTTCGCAGCGCTCCCCGCCTGACCTCAACCGCAAGGTCCGGCTGGCACAATCACAAGCACACGGCCACAAACACACAATGACAAAACGCAGCCACAAACACACGATCACAAGCACGACCACAGCACACAACCACAAAGACACATCCACGGCACACAACCACAGCGCACAACCACAACACACAACCACAGCGCACAACCGCAACACACAACCACAGCACACAACCCAAGGACTCACAAACAAAATCGAGAACTACAAAACTCACGGCCACGGCAACATGCTCCTCACTATGGCATGAAGACAAATTATTGACATGTCATGGTGAGGATCACTCGAAGTAAAGTATGTCGTTCTTTTTTAAGACGTTTGGACCTTTCTTTCTTTATTTTTTCTTTCTTTATTTATGTTGTTCTTTCTTTCTGTGTTCTCGTCTTTCCTTCTTTAGACCATTTAGACAAACAAACTCTTTCTTTCGTTTTCTTTTTCTTTTCTTCTCCCCACACATTGTCCTTCTGCATCTTCAGTTGCATCTGGAGAAGATTCGCTTGACGCACTCGATCAAGAGCCTTAACGTGCTTTTGGGAACATCCGACTATATTCCCCCAAACAACCCATCACAGCAACTAACTCCGCCTCGAATACTTCATCAGATCCCAAGTGCTGAAAGTACGGAAGATTCCTGTAGCTTTGGCTCTTCTCCTAACATGTCACGTCACGCCACGCTATGCTCGAGCCAAGAAAACAGAACGAAGCAAGAAGTTCATTCCGATTCCGCCTGCCGCTGCCTCCTCATTTGGTCGATGAGGTCCCCAACAAAGAGTTCATGTTCGGTGGCCAAAAGAGTTGGCCTTGGATACGAAATGAAGCTAGCTGGCATAGTGGCGAAGCTAGCTGGCTAAACACTTCCTTTTGCTGCGCCGACTGTTCATACACAAAGACCTTAGGCAAGCACGACGGCGTCTCCATAAGCGCCAGCACGTGGTTGAACAACAAAAACTATCCTAACCTACGCTAAACAACTCGTTGCTGTGCCCAAAATCTGTGACAACCTGTGAGATTGTCTAATCACAGGCAATGCAAACAATTGGCTTGCTAATGACATTATGAATTATGAACGCATCTTTCTGCTGCTTGGTCAAAATTTGTTCCTGCAGAAAACGATCCCATCCACAAGGTTCCAAGCCCCATCCTTTTCAACCCAAGTGACATTGTGCAATGATTTGTCAATGTCTGCTCGCCCCTGGTCTAGTTTCTTGATCTAGTTTCACATCTGAGGACTGCATGATGGCTGAAGTGCAGTTTCACATTTTCCCCTTTTACAAGCGCATGATGGCTTGTCGATGGCAAGCGCCGTAAATGGATGTATATATTATATAAATGGTTCTTTGTTTGGACGGGTGGTTGCGGACAGGTACAAACCAGCTATACCTAGACCCTGGGACCCTCGTTTAGGGAATAAATAACGGAAAGGATGCAAGCTTCTCGGATAACAAACCCTGGCCATTTGAGTAGCGCTGACATGGAACCATGGTTCTGATTGCGTATTGGCATCAGGTGATCAGCTCGGTTCCTCTTGTGGAGATGTGATATAATGCAAAAATAGGATTAGGCAACCCCCCGCTATTAGTCTACCCAGCGTTCAGGCCCCAATAATAAACTAATTTGAACTATGAATTTCCTCAGTCACCACCCTCTAATAATTTTTTTTCTTGGCTGAAACCCCCCCCTATTAGTCTACCCTCTGTCCCCCCAGGAAAATATAATTATTCAAATATATATGCGTTTAATTAGTTTTGTTCTTTTTGCCTTTTCAATATCTTTTGGTCCATGGTGAAACTGATCTTCTGATCCACTCTTGGATCTCATGATGAAAGGGAATTAGTATTTGGGCTCTCATGGATCTCATCATTCCATCCCATCTCATCTCCTCCTCCTGTCATCATCAGGTCATCCCCACTATTAGGGGGATGTGATCTCCAAACCCTCCAATCTCAGACCTTGTTGACCTTGTTGACCTTCTAGGGGGGGGGGGCCGTTGATTAATCCGAGGATTGCATTATTGGTGTTTCGATCCGCTGCCTTGCTGATGCAAGTGATGCCGCAAGGAGTTGATCTTGCGCCTTCTGCATCACCAACTTACAAAAAAATAGTTTCCACCGGAAAGTAAAACACGCCACCAGGTTTCCAGGGTTACATCCTCAGATTTGCGTCTGCCCCCCCATACCTCCAAATAACTTGCTTGGTTCGCAGAAACTATCTTCAGCCTAGCCTATTGGCCGGCTTTCGTAAATTGAATAAGCTATTGTTATATCACACACATATATAATTAGGCAATCTAGGTGTGTTGTTGAAGAGCTGATTGACGACATCTTCGCAGGATGCCATATGGATGTGCCTTCTGATGCTTGAACAAGTAATGACACGAGAAGGAAAACGTTGAACGGTGAGAGGCGATGACATACCATGACATAAACTTCTTTTGAAGGCCGCAACATAATGATTCCATTGCCTGAAGCATTTTCCGCTGAACTCGCAAGTCATGGGACTGAAAGATCGGCAACAGTGGAGTTGGCAATTTGCAAGTCAAACGCCACACAAGGCAACGTATCTGTTCTCAGAAGCTGGGCAAAACTCAAGAAAGCTATACTGGTTATACTCATATGTAGGATATTCTAGCTCTCTCTACAATTACAATACCGCACAAAATCGAATGATGGACAATGTGCGTCAATGTGCTCCTTGAAGGATGTTTATCGAATTGAGTGCGCATTCCAAATCAGGGACAAATTCGACCAGACTGTAATCCCGCGCGACAATGGAAGACCCCACGTGAAATCCAAAGACGACAAGTGCGGCGCATGATCGAATATTGAGAAGTGCGAGCTGAACTTTTGACCGCGAAAGGCCTGCAGTAAGTTAGCTGTACATGTCGTGTCCTATGGAGTGACTTGTATTTCGCACTCCTCCTTGGTGTCTTGAGCTGAGATTTTCGAGCTTTCGACACCATTCCCTTCTTAAAATGGGACTGCATCGCTATCGAGAAACTCCATATGTCTCTCCATGCGTGCGTACATCTCCATTTTGCTCTCGTGTTCATTCCTCTGGTTCAGTTCGAACCATCGGTTCTCAAACTGCAGTGAGTATTGTTTGGCTCGCAGACAAGATCTGGCTTCTGGTTTGTCATACTCGCTCACCTCATAGAGTTCTGCATCAGTGAGCCACCTTGTTGTTGGTGTTGTCAATCGTCTTCGCTCTCTGGTTCTCTTGGTTCGAGATCTGACTGTGACTATTTCGCCTGAGTCCAACCTGACTTGTACTTGATCTTCTGGATCATGCTCTCCTTCTTCACTTTCTTCATCTCTCAAAGTGTTGTCTCGTATGTCCAAATGTCGACGTGTCTGCTCCACATTTCTCAGAAGGTAAGTCTTGACCTGTTTGTCGAGTTTTCTCACGTCGAACTCTTTGTTGGTTTCCTGGAGGTAGTCCCAATGCCTCCGGTCCTATACTCCAACATCATCATCGTCCACATAGCCTGAAGCTTTGATCAAGCCTCTGCGCACCTTCTCCACATACTTCCTCAATTGGGCTATGCCTTCTTGAGCCTCATGACCATAGGCTCCAACCATCATGCCGTCCACCTTCACATCATCAACTACCTGTTGAAGTCTGGCCTCCATTCTCTCAAGCTTCTTCCAAAGCTTGTACATGCCGAAAACCAGCACGGCCATCATCACAATCAAGACCACGATGACGATCCATAGCCACCAACTGTGGTTGGTTGCGGTGGTCTCCTCCTTCATCTCCATCCGCTCTCCAGCCACCTGCTCAAGGCCTTCCAACAGCAGAATCCGGTTCAGCAACTTTGCGAGCCTTTGAATCTTGTTTCGACTCACACTCCTTTCTTCGAGTTGTTGAAGCTCTTCTTGACCTAGAAGTTCACCATCACCACTGTAAATCTGGCACCAGTTCAGAATGAGATTCACCCGAACCTTGGTTTGGTCCCCAAGTCTGCCACGTTGCCACTGTGCCTACAGCTTTGACCTCAAGATCTCCCTGAGCCACCATATCCTGGGCCCAAAGCAGTTTACCTGCAATGTGTCGAAGCTGTCCAGGACCTTTCCTGTGGCACAAGTGGAGCGCTGCAGAATTGTCAACCGAACAGTAGTGCATGATGTTCTCCTCCATCAGGAATTCTAGGCATCGTCGCAAGTAGATGCCACCGGCAGCCCCACTCACCAAAGCATTCAACTCCGCTTCAGCCGAACTTAGGGACACCGATTTCTGTCCCCTGGAACTTGTCAGCAACACTGCTCCATTCAACATGTGCACTGCCGCCGACGTCGATCTGCGACGTCCTTTGGCTCCTGACCAATCACTGTCTGTGAAAGTCTCAAGCAACCATCTTGAAGTGGTCGTCCTCGTTGCATGCCCATGCCCTGGTCTGGGTATGGCAGAAGGCTGTACTGTCCCATCGTTCCCTTCAGGTAGCCAACCAACTTCCCAAGCTTCGTTAACAGGACATTGAGGATGCGAGCGCTTTGATTGCAAAAGAAACATCCATTCGCTCCTGTGACAAGTAGATGCCACATCCCACAAGTGATCGGAACAAACTGGCCAGCTCACCGTTCAACAAAGCTGTGCCATCTTGCTCAAGCATCTCAGGACCACAAGGCAACTTCTGCACTTTGGCCTTGCCCATCTGCGCTTCCATGCTCTCTGCGTATTTTCCTGGCAGGATCTTCAAGCCTTGAATCGTCAACTCATACGTCCTCCTCAAGAAAGCAAAAGTGGTACCATCTCCAGCTAAATGCTGCTCTGAGATGTCGAAGCTCCTTTTGATATCTGGAATCTCCAGATACTCTTTGCTCCCAAGGTAGAGCACATCTGCTTCTCTCTTCTCCCAAGACATGGATTGATGTCTGAAAACTGAAATCCTCGGCTCTTCAACCAATCAGTAAAATAATCGAACCATGCCTTTGCTCCCAATCGTTGACCTGGAAGATTGCGCTAGTGACCTCTGGCTGTCTTCACCTGGGTCGGCTCCTCCTGCGCGACCTGCAGAAAGGCATCTTTCACGTCCATTGACCCCAGCCAGTACTCTTCACCTCCATCTTTCTCCTCGAGCTTCTTCATGAGGTAGATGATAGGAAGCAAGCGCAAGGGGTTTTGAGTGGCCGGACTGTGAACATCATCTCTCCTGTCCACTGCATACTCTCGAGCTACCAGTCTGGATCTCCTGAGAAACTGCTTGGGTGCTCCTGGAAGGTCTTGGCGTGGTTTGACTCTCCAATCTCTGACAAATCGGGTTGTCAACTTCTTGAAACCAGCCTTCTCATCCTCCATCGCTTCTAGCACACCCATCTTCAGGAGCCTTTGTTCTTCAACTTCATCTGCTAGCTCATCAATCCACAGCGGTGGATCTGCAGGGACTCTGTCTAAAGGTGCTGATGACCATAGAGCTTCTGCACCGAAGAACTGGTCCATGTGGTAGCAGACGTCATCTCCTACTTCTGTGGCTTGTACTCGTCTCTCAATCTGAGGCTCTTTCTCTCCAGTCTTCAATCTCTTTGGTTCTGAGCTTTCACCTTCACTCCCATGCACTGTTTTGCTTGGAGAGAATTTCATTCTCTTTGGATCTCCTTCTCCACCTTCCATAGTGAAGCCACTCTTCTGTGCTGGGCTCCTCGGTGTAGTTGCCGGCGCCGACGGTCCTGCTTGATTATGTGCTTCATCCACCATATTGGGATCTTTGAGTTTCATCACTGGCAAAGTGATCTTCTCTTCAGCATAGTC